TTTTCCTGGTAAGGCAAACTTTCCCGGCGTGCTTTTTTCATGGATAAACAAACACCACTGCTTTGCACATGGATGCCTTGCCCAAGCCAGGGCTACAAGAGCTGCATTGTTAGAATTGTATAATACTTCAACAAGGTACCTCTGCAACTGAATTATTCTTAGTTATTTTTTTTTTCTTATTTTAATTTATTTCTTCCGAAAGTGTACTCTCTATCACATATAATTCCACTGTCTTAGTTAGGCCTAGGCCTAATCTTATGCCTCATTGTCCCCTGCTACACAGTGCATCAGCAGCCCCTCCCCCATACAGTACAGACGTTTGCTAGGTAACAATGTGATTGCACCTTCCTTCCCAGGTGTTCATGTAACATTGACATAATTGTTAGCTAACCAGTTGTGTGTATTTCTTTGTGAAAATGAGTACCGTGGCGTACTCATTTTCGCAAAGCATTTGCATCCCCTCTTGGAAAGAGGGATTTCGAAATAATTGTCTCCATATCTTCGCTAATTAAATTAATCACTGTAATTTAGCTTACACTTATGAATTTAGGGAGCACTTAAAATGTGCAATGATCATTTCACTACCTGACAAACTCCGAACTTTATTCATTCATTAGGCCTACATAATAGTTTCATATTGCTGTACTATATTCTCCAACATCACTGGCGCATGGTAACAACCAACTGACTAAGTATTTCGGTGTGAATCACACCAAGGATAACACAGGAAGTCTGAAGACTTGTTACAGGATCCTTGTGGTGGTGAATTGGCCAGTACACCGGGAGACAATCCCCTACTCTTTTCCGAAGAGTGTACTGCATTCTTTAACGTGCACATGGGCCATATTGCACACGGGACCAACGGCTTAAACATCTCATCCGAAAGACGGTCCTCCAGCTGAACACAAGGAGAGCAGTGATGGGAATTGAACTGGGGACCTAGAGATCTCCACGGTTCAGCGCACACACAGTGGCTACCACCAGATTAGCTGACTGAGCTAAGCTGCTCAGCCCCACCATGTTTGATTATGTTATCTTTACACTATTACTGTATAGCAAAACATTTAGTACACACAGTACTGTACATTTAGTAGTTTGGAGCAAGCAAAAATATTATATTTAATTATGCATTAAATTATGATGTGTAACAAATGTTTTTTTTTTTTTTTTTTTTTTTAAAATTCCTCCAGGGTAATGGTCAATGCCTCCAACCACTGGTGGGTGGTCGCACACTTTTTCCAGCCCTCTCTAGATGGTCAGAAATTGAATTCTCAGTCTTAAATTTGAATATACTTTTCTTTTTTTCTCGCCTCCCCCTCCCCTCCCTGAATCCGCCACAGATAAATTGTGCCTAATCAAAATTCATGGGGATCATAAGTGGCTGAAACTTATCTGCAAATATTCCTCCTTATCCCAGCCAACCCTTGAAGTGAATCTGGGACTCCACATTAATACCTTTTGACCTTTAAAGACTTATAAACCATTATCTATCTATCAATTCATGTCATTGAATCTGAGATTTTATATTTATTAATATTAATTTCCATTAGTTTGACCCTTGGTATTTAAAAATGCTCAATACAATTTATATACGTTCAATGAGATAGCACCTCTCTTTTTCTATGCATTGTAATCTGATAAGGTACGTTGTACGTTCTAAACTACATCTTACAAACTACACTTTTGTTTTGCGTAGTGGACACATATTCTACAAACGTTATGCATAGTACAAATGCAGTGATTCATGGCTGGACTGTAGTTTATTGCATCTAAACTACATCTTACAAACTACACTTTTGTTTTGCGTAGTGGACACATATTCTACAAACGTTACGCATGGTACAAATGCAGTGATTCATGGCTGGACTGTAGTTTATTGCATCTATTAATTCTTCATTAAAATACAAAAACACAATTTAGAATAATCTTGATTCTGATACTGTAGTATACAATACAGTTGCATAGTTACCTAGAGAGGGCACTTCACTCAGTGCATATTTCTACCCTGTACCCAAATACAGAATTTAAAAAAATTAAAAATTTACTTTACTTGTTTTAAAGTCTAATTAAATCTTTTTAGACCCATATGTACTCCTCCACAAAATTTTAGGATGACCATTCTTGTTTTGCATAATTCTGTTAACAAACAGACAAACAGCGGCAAATACATAAACTTATAGGTGTAAAAAGAGGAGTGTTGTTGCGGATCTCAATGAGAAACATGACAACACACAGGCGGCTAATTGCTATAGGAAACATGACAGCCAACATCGATCCCTAGTGTACGAGAAACATGACAACAGT